ATCACACACACACACACACACACACACACACACACACACACACACACACACACACACCATTAAAAAGTTGTTTTTATTGTTTTTCAAGGAAGTCTCTTATGCTCACCAAGGCTGAATTTACTTGATTACAAATACAATAAAAACAGTAATATTGTGAAATATTATTACTGTTTAAAATAACTGTTTTCTATTTGATTATATTTTAAAATGTAATGTTCCTTTGCTGCAAAGCTGAATTTTCTGCATCATTACTACAGTTTACAGTGTCACATGTTCTTTCAGAAATCATTCTAATATGCTGCACAAAAACATTTATTTTTATTCATATCAGTGTTAAAAACAGTCGTGCTGCTTAATATTTTAGTGGAAATCGTGATACATTTAAAAAATGATACAAAAGAATGGCATATAGTTCAAATAGAAATCTTTTGTAACATTATAAATGTCTTTACTGTCACTTTTGATCACTTTAATGTCTATGATAAATCAAATTCATTTCTTTAACATTTTTTTACTAACCTCAAACTTTTGAACAATAGTGTATATATCACTCCAACTTTAAACAAAGTCATTTTTATTAAGAGGGAGTATTGCCTGGAGAACTCTCCATGTTGAGTTTGAGTGTCTTCCCTTCTGTTAACGTCTGGCAGTGTTTGCATAGGAGTTGAATTCATTCTTGATCGTTGCTTTGGGATCTTAGCACATTTACACATTGGATGACCTTTCAGAGGCTGAACACAGTCAGATTACCCTGATTTTCAATCTTCACTTTGAAAGCACTGTCCTGAGAGGCCATCATTTACAAACAACAAACCTCTTACAATTAGCCATTACCAGGAGGCCAGTAGTGAATCACTCATAATATGGATCATTATAACTAAATGCCATTTTTTTTAATGTAAGACCACTTGCTGAGTTGTTCTTATCTTTTTGTTTTACGTATGTTTTTAGGTGGACCTGCTCAGACCAAAGCGCATCACAGGGATCATCACACAAGGGGCCAAAGACTTTGGCAATGTGCAATTTGTGTCTGCCTTTAAAGTGGCTCACAGTGATGATGGCATGTACTGGACCATACTCAAAGACGACAAGACGAAAACAGATAAGGTTGGTTGATTCCACAATTTAACCCCAAATTACCTAGTTCCTTTTGGATCAAGTCTTATCCTGACATACACATTAAATGTTTCATTCAGAGCACAAATGGGTCGAAAATCATGTTGATTTAATTGTCATTTTTTGTTTTTATGTTTCAGTGGCTGTGATCAGTGTTGTTATTAAATAAAATTGTTTAAAAAATTGGTTAATTGAATTAAAACTAAAATAAAATAAAAAACAAAATAATAAGATGGAAAAACGTAATAATGTTGCCTTCGCAACTAACTGAAATAAAATAAGTTTAAGTTAAGGTACTAAAATTACCAAAAGTAAAACTGTTAATATTTAACATAATTAAATAATTAGATAATACATAACATACATACAAATATTATATATTTTTCATATTACGTTTGTTTTTATGTTTTAGTGCCAGTTATCAGCGTTGTTATAAACGTAAACTATTTAAAATGTTTTTTTGTTAATTAAAATAAAGCTGAATTAAAATAAAATATAAATAATTCATGAAAAACATGAAAAACGGAAAAAAAAAATTTACTGAAATAAAATGTTTAAGTTGAAGGACTAAAATTACTAAAAGTTAAAAATGAAAAGAAAACAAATGAAAGCTAAATAGAAAAAAAAACTAATAAAAATGACAAAAACACAAAATTATTTACTAAAATTAGTTATTTCAAAAACTATTAATAAATAAATAAAAACATAACTAATAAAATAACTATGATGTTTATGTTCTCAGCATTGGTCTACTTTTAGTATCTGTCAACATGAATTGCTGATTTCAGTATGTCAATATGGATATGTGAAATCAATTAAATATGTCAATATGCCAATTATTATAAAACTTAAAGGGATAGTTCACATAAAAATGACAATTCTGTCAGTTTATTCAGCCTCATGTCGTTCCAAACCTGTATGAGTTTCTTTCTTCTGTGAAACATAAAAGAAGATATTTTGAGGAAATATAGGGTTTTTTGTCCATATTTGAAAGTCTGTAGGGACCAATAAGTTGTCTCGTCATTCATAAATGGACAAAAAAATATCATCTACTGTGTTCCACAGAATAAAGTAAGTCTTTCAGGTTTGGAATGACATGACGATGACAGAATGTTCGTTTAACAAGATTCCAAACTTCCCCCACATCTTTTCAACTGGCCACAGCATTGGCCGCTCATCTTGTGTATATTCTGCTTCATCTGTCTTTCACGTCCTTGTCTCACCCCATCTTTGTTTCCTACTGCTTCACCTGCAGATTTTCCCTGGCAACAGCGACAACAACGTGCACAAAAATAACGTGTTCGAGCCCCCCTTCTACGCACGATTCGTCCGCATCCTGCCGTGGGCGTGGCATGAACGCATCACCCTGCGAATGGAGCTGCTGGGCTGTGATGAGTAGAACTCCTCTTTCTCCTTCTCCCTCTCTCTCATTCTCTTTTATACTTCCCACCATTCCTTCTTTCCTCAACCACGCCTGCACTGCCTCACTCTTAGCAACAGAGGGCACCATCATCACACCACCCTACACAGCTGAGGACCCCGGTAGCAAATGAAGTGACACGTTTAGCATTAAATATTTTGTACTAACACAAGTCTGATGCAGTGGCCCTTTGAAGATGAAGTTGATGCTAATGTATAATAATGTTTATTTACCCTAGATGACCATATTAGGAAATAGCTGAATTTTTTAAAACTTTGTTACAAATAAATTGTAACAATTCTATTTCTTTTTTTTGTCAAGTAAAACTCGAACTCCGTTACAAACAATTGGAAAAAAGAAACTGTACATACCAAATAAGGCACAATTAATTTATTTTCACAAGAATCAGTGTGTTAGTTTGGTTTTAAATGCAGTCAAGCTGTTTTATATCTTATCTTATGAAGTAGTTTAAATTAGAAAGTGACAAAAGTCACAAAATATGGTTGTGCTTTATGCTAATTTATATTATGTAATAAAATTAGCCATTTGATCATTTGTTTTTTCTATAAAATAATATTTGGTTTAAATCGATTAGATTTTTTTAAACTAGGCTAATGCATTTTTTACAGCCTCGTCAAACCTAAATATAAAATGTGACAGTCAATCATCTATTATTATTTGATCACTTTTGTTTAATTTGAATGGCCACGGATCTCAGGTGCAGTTCAATTATTTGCAGTGTGCTACTGAATTTTATTTGTTTAGTTTTATTCCAGCATAATTCTGAAATAAACCAAATTTTTTTGGATACAAAAACACTTAAAAGCCAAAGTGTTCTAATGTTTTTCTTATGATGTTAGCAAATGTATAATTATTATTATTTTTTTATGGGGCCACACTTACATTAAAAGCTTTGACGTACCCTGTCACTAGCATAATGAGATGCAGGACGGGTGCAAATCTAATTTAGAATAATTTTTACGGTGGCACTGAACCTCTGATATGACCGTCCAATCTACATAATGTTTTCAAAATGATGCATTGTGACCCCTCCACTCGAATAAATTTACAATTTTGGGCTTGTGCAATATGATACGAGTATTATTAATTAATTTAGGCTTTAGCTTTAGGAGAAAATATATGGGCAGTATTTCTCTGAGATATTTTCTGAGAAGAACTAAAGTGGTATTCAAGGTAACAAACACTGAGGAATATTCTAATAATCCAGCATGATTTCTGCATTTAGGCTGCATGCGTTTTGATTTTCTTTGGTTTGGATTCTGTACTGATGTTAGCATTTGATTTTTCTCAGAATTGTTTTCATTGCAGTAATGACAAATTGACTTTGTTACTTCTATTCAATGTGCTCTTAAACTTTTGTCATTTTTAAATGCCTCATACTGTAGCACTCTTCTTGTGTTCAGATTGTTTAGACTAGATGCATTTCCTTAGTATCTCTTGAAATATTTTCCTCATGTTTTCAACTGTAGAAACAAATAAAGAATATTAATAGATACTTATGGCCTATCAGACATGTTGTCTTGTTATGAATCCTCCACAGTATGCTGTTACTGATAAGGCAAGTTAAAATCTTTGGATATTTCCCCAACTAATCAAATTGGAAATCCTCAGCATTCTTTTCCAATAACCACAAAATAAATGTCTAAAAAACTAAATAATAAATATTAATATTTTGATATTGAATAATCTTATTTATAATAATAGAATTATTATTATTATTAAGCATAATGAAATATATAAAAATAATTCATAATAGTTATTTATTTTAATAATTTAATATTTTATTTTATGTGTGTATGAAACTATGATTTTATTATAATATGTGTGTGTGTGCTTATGTATTTATTTATGTACGTTAATGTAAAATAATGAAATATATTTAAAATAATTAAATATATTTATTTTAATAATACATTTAATATTTTCTTTTATTATTTAAGTGTATATTGAAAACATATTTGAGGATTTTATTGTATTACTATTTTATGTATGTATTTATTTATTTGTACCTTTGCCAAATAATAACTCCCTTCAGTTCTGATTGACTGGAACACACTAATATACAGGCTCTATAGAGATTCAAAGCAGGAAGGCAGGAGAGAATCAAGTGATAGTCGAAAGAATGGCAGGAAAACAGCAGCACCCGATGGGCAAAGCCAGGAAGGATTCTTTTCTGGAAAAACAAGGCTATTTTGGATGAGGTATTGTGGCAAATATTTTGTCAGAGGCAAACATTCTTTGCTTTCTACTAACATCTCTACAAAGCAAATCTCGCCTCATTGCTTGACAAGTTTATGAAGGGTTGTAAACTGGGTCAACATTTTTAAAATTCACCCTCGCTGTCAAAATCTTCAGTACAAACCAAAGTATTACTAGAGTTTCACTGGAAGCTTGTTTGATGGAAACTGGCAAAACAAATAAATCAAAAACCCACAAAACTGTGTGGCTGAATTCCATTCATTCACACGCATATAGTCATTCAGAAGATGATGTTTGGAAGCACTTACATATATTGTTCAAAGCCTATTCAGTTATTCATAGGTAACACAATCTCAAAGAAACACCCTTTAAAAAAAATGCTACTGATTCTACTGAGTGTCATTTGTGTCCCTCATTTACTGTACATGTGTGTAAAAACAAAACATTTTATATAGATTCACTACTGTTCAGAAGTTTGGGGTAAGTACTTTTTTGTTTATTTTTTTTTATTTAAAGAAATAAACACTTTTATTCAGCAAGGATGCATTAAATTCAACAAAAGTGAAGTAAAGATTTCTATTTCAATTAAATGCTGTTATTTTGAACTTTGTTCATCAAAGAATCCTGAAAGACTGCAGGGTTTCCACAAAACTCTTTTACATATTGATAATAAATGTTTCTTGAGCAGCAAATCAGCATATTAACTTAAGAATGATCGTGTGACACTGAAGCCTGGAGTAATGCTGAAAATTCAGCTTTGCCATCACAGGAATGAATTACATTTCAAGATATATTACAAATATTTCACAATATTGCTGTTTTACTATATTTTTATTAAAGACAGTGGTGAGCAGAAGAGATGTCTTTCAAAAACATTAAAATATCTTACTGACCCCAAACTCTTGAATAGTACATTTCTTGGTATGAGATGATGTAAATATTGTATTAATTTACCTTTCTGATATACTTACTTTTATGAATACTTATTAAAATGTTTTTTTTTTTTCCTGGAGAATGCACAGTGCAGCTAATTAACATTTAAACACTTTATTTGTGTCATATAATGTTTGAAATCTTAAAAATGTATCGTTTTCCAATATTCTTTTCAAATGAAGAGTTTTTTCTCAGGCAGGCTGCAGTAACTAAGACTGACAAGTGCGTCAGGAGAATCTAAAACATTTACATCCAGCCATTTTGGACCTATTCATTTTGGGCAAACAATTAGAGTACAATGTTCTTCCAAATGATAGCTGCCAAAATCATGCTTCTGTGAAGCCCACAGCTATTCAAAGGGCCTTGGCATTCCTTGCCTAAGACGACGGCTTTCATCTTGGCTGTGGGGACTAATTGACGGGGAGCTTCAAATGCGTCGCTAATGTTGTGAGCATCTGTGAGAGAGGCGATATACATCTGCTCACCCTCATCTTTTAAAGTGTCCATAATGTAGTGATGTATGAAGAACAGCTCAAACAGGAGTTACTTTCAAAGCAAGCAGCATTCTGTTGGTCAACATGGTGAATTCGTGTGAATAACTTGAACATGATGTGAAATCCGCGGGGGGGAATCTATTGCCTTCTTGTGTCGGTTTCTATTGAAATGACTGGATTTCGCCTGAGAAAATTCATCAAACTAAAGTAAATGTGACTGTGAAAGAGAAAGGGGCAGAGAAAGGGTGGTGCAGTGTGGCACATTTTGGGGTCATAATACTGAGTGATGCTGTCTGTCAGTACAACATCCTGGTCCCTCCAAAGGCCGCCTAACTGTCTTTTCCTCAAATATTGCGATTTAGATATCACATCAGCTGTATCGCTAAATAACAAGGAGAAAAGGTAGGAATTTCGGGGAAGAGAAAAAAGATGAACACTATAGCTACTGACAGAGAACAACAAACTTTTGAATCCCTGCTGGTCACGAGTAAGAGGAAAATTTCACATCTGCAAGGATATGGATACTTTACTTTGAGCATTGACTTTGGAAAATTAGCACACTTTGGGGGTTTTCGCTGAGGAGAAGAGGAAATTCAACCACTGACTTTCCCATAGTAATCTTTTTTGAGACTCCGGTCAAGGGTCAACAGTCATGTTTCTGGTGTGTAATTTCATATGCAGTGGTAATTTTTTCGTCGTACTATTTACAAATGATTACATTACAAAATATTTTTTATACAGATTTTAGGGTTTGTTTTCCACCTAATAGGGCATAATTTATAACACTCAGTGCATTCAGAATGTAAAAGAAAAATAGGTATGTGACGATCTATTATTACCAACTGTGTTATTAGGCCAGGCAGCCTCTGAGGCCATTAAGAATCGTTGTTTTTTTTTTTGTGACAAACCCGCGTAACAAGAGACCTGGGTGGAATATATTCTCGCTGGCACCATGAACAAAAGCTCCAGTTTCAGTTTTGGGAAATTATCAACACACCTTATGCTGTAAAGTTATACCGTGATGATGGACGGCAGTCCTCGACTGCTTTGTAGACCCCACAATTATTATTGTTCGCGAGCTGGAGAACTTCAAAAGAGATGCCTGAGTGACGTCACCTCACGGTCCCACAATATTATTACAGAGAGAGAGAGAGAGAGAGAGAGAGAGAGAGAGAGAGAGCGCGCGCGCGCGCGCGCGCGCTATTATTCCTCACCTCGGACGATGAACAGAGTAGTTGTAGCAAAAGGAGCCGGAGAAAGTATTTTACATTGGTAAGCTGCGAAAATGCGTTTATTATTTCATGAATGTGCATGTTAGCAGATTCTTTGAATGCTACAATTAATGCAACAACAAACGCTATCGGCTGTGACTTTAAATCTTTGTGTTTTGTATCAATTTGATAACATTTTACTATTGTCGTAAAACTACCTTTTATGTGGCTTAATTGTATAGCTAGTTGACTTTTGCTTCTTCAATCGTTTAACCAGCAATTCATGCAGTTCTTGAAGTAACGATATGATGATTATCTCGTTTATGGCGAGCAAATCAAACTTTCTTTTTTTTTTTAAATAAATCAGATTTCAAAAGTGTTAAAGTTGTTGACTCGTGAAATATGTTGAGTTAGATTTGTGACCCTGGACCACAAAACCAGTCTTAAGTGTCAATTTTTTGAAATTGAAAGCTGGATAAATAAGCTTTCCATTGATGTATGGTTTGTTAGGATGGGACAATATTTGGCCGAGATACAACTATTTGAAAATCTGGAATCTGAGGGTGCAAAAAAAAATCTAAATATTGAGAAAATCACCTTTAAAGTTGTCCAAATGAAGTTCTTAGCAATGCATATTACTAATCAAAAATGAAGTTTTGATATATTTACAGTAGGAAATTTACAAAATATCTTC